TGATGCCTCATATAAGGACTCTATATCTGAAGAGGGGGGCTCTCCGAGAAGGGGAGGGGCTGCCACCCCACACGTGTTGTCCTCTCCGTCACTCAAGTTCACACCACCGTCTAGAGGGGGCGCCGACCCACTGCCTAAAATTACAATCTGTGTAAAGTTTGCCCAAACTTAGGACTTAGCTCTGTTGTTGGTTATTGCTTTAGTTAAATCTTTAAGCTCTAGTTAAAGCTTTGGTTGTTAGTTTAGGATTCTTTTCGGCGTCCAAAAAGCATTAAAGTCAACCCCACAATTCGATCTCTAATAACTCCATAGATAAACTTAAACACATTTATATCTGCCATGTAAAGGTTGAACTCCAATTTATGTTTTAGCTTAATTTAAATTAAGTAAAGCGAAACTTTTTTTCGACCTAGTTCATTTAAAAAGAAGCAAGCGAACATAGCCAACAGGCAGAAATTTGAAAATTAATATGCACTGTCAAAATTAGAAGTCGATCTTGTTTTTTGTGACCTTTACATCCGATAGTGGAGTTTGCCTTCCTTTCAACAAAGGAAATGAGCTGAACTTTGAAAAAAAATCATAATTGAAACCGCGAAGAACCAAATTTGAGCCTGAACAAATCTTAAGACTTTCTGAAAAAAATCATCGCGACCTATATAAGAGTCTGCACTACGTTCTTCGACTGTTAAAACTGGTCTTGCAAGGAACTTACTGTTACAGTGGTCTTGCAAGTGGGGGTTGGAAATTGCACTCTGCATCTGAAAAGAGCCACCGGGTGATCTTTGTGTGTAAGACCCCGCCCCCGATGGGGGTGTGGTGCGAGGGGGAGGGGTTGTCCTGGGCTTGGTGAGTATTGCGATTGGACATCCGAAATTGCGAAGGTTCTCCTCTTGGGATAATATCATGACCCTGTTGTTCTTGGGCTGTGGGGAAGGTCCTTTTCCCCCTTTTGACCCCGAGGGGCTCACGTGACCCTGGCCCTGTCCTTGTAGTTGATTTTGGTTGAAGGGTATTTCTGCATAGGAGTTGCTGAATTGAGCAGATTTTAAAATTAATTTACTTCTAATGAAACACGTTTCAGATAACGATCAGTCTGTGCATATAAGGCAGAGAAGTAGTTGAATAAAATATTAATAAAAACAATCAGAACATTTCTACCGTCAAAAATCAACAGCCAATTCGAAAACATGCAACCAAGTCGAATTTAATTTTCATAAAAAAACAAGACAAACATAAATTACATTTTCATGCGTTTTTACATAGCGCCCATAAATTGCTCGAGATGACACTTTGGTCCTGGACCATCGGAAACTGTCTTCGCTTAAGAAACACTTGAACCCGGCTTGAACTCAGAAGTTATCGGAAACCTCCTTGACTACTGGTCATCGGAAACCTCCTTGTTTTAAGATCATTACTGATGCCATTTTTTTGTGCCCCGAGAGGGCATGCATCCATGCATATGCATACAACCACCTAATTTCAACTAGAGTAATTGTAATCCAGCGCAGACCACGCACCTCGTGTTTTTTATTTTGCTCATCGCAATATGAGGCAGGATGTTGCCTATCATCACTTGCACATTAAACATTTAGAACATTTCTACCAACAATATTCAACAACCAATTCGTAACATCAGTTGAACCAAGTGACTTGTGATCATAACGCAATAGTGTCAGAGTTCCATAAAAGATTATTCGGATAGCTTTTCTATTGACCTTAAAAAAGAAATGAGATAAGCTCAAAATCTGCTATCTTTCATAGTATAGTGCCCATGAAATTGCTCGAACTCGCAGAACAAGCCCGTGCAAGAAAACTGTCTTGACTTAACTAAAGGATGATCATCTTAACCCATCTTGAACCCAAAAAATATCGAATGCAGCCTTGATTCTAGATCATTGGATCTGGCAGGATTTCATGTTTACTGGTTAAAGCGTTAACTGCAGTCGTCACAACCCGCCTTGGTATCTGGAACTACCGACACTATATTTAAGGCTGCGAGGGGGCATGCAACCATTCACATGAATGCTACCAATGCAATGTCAGTTGGAGGAGTTCCAATCCAGGACAGCACCTAATACTTTTTTTGCTCATCGCAAGTTGAGGCGTGCTGTCAAGTATTCCAAATAAGCAATCGCGTTCAACAAAAGCAATCCGATAATTTCTATAGCCAAATGTCAAAAACAAATTCGAAACATCAGTTGAACCAAGATTCTTGAGATCATGAAAGCAAAAATCGTATTATCAAAAAAGCATCATATTATCAAAAAAGATGTTTTTTAATTTGCCTGTTTAACTATGACTGTCGAATATGCCTAATTTTTAGTTTTCTGTTCAGATCCTTTTATCACACCACGCCGAAAAAAATACAATAATTTGAAAATACAACTTTTTTCGTAGTTTTTTTCAAAGACTATGATCTACTTGCACAGTAACCGGTTATCCCTGTTTAATGTTGTATTGTTTTTTTTATATCCAATCTGAATTTACCTCTATCGCATGGCGAAATCAAGAAACAATGAAGTATCTAAAATAAAGATGGTACTTATTGAAAAGTTAATGACTATCAAAAAATATATTTGCAATAGTTTAGTTGCGTTTTTGAAAGTTTTGTTAAAATTGTGGATGTTGTGGGTGGTTTTTTATTTTTCATTCGTGCTTTTTCTAGCGACCCAAATAACATTTTTAAACTCAAATTTTATTAGGATGCTATTTTGAGTTTATGCTCGTAATCAGATGGCATTGGCCTATGTGATGATATTGCTCTAGTTTTCAGTTGAACACCTATTTCAATTTCTGCTGAGAATTTAGTTTGTTTCTGTTCTGCACCTCAATTGTTGCGGTTTAGGAGGAGGAGTGCCCCTCAGAGACTCGACCTTTTCGTCACACGAGTCGATTCAAAGCTTAGATTGATCGTTCAGCTGAATTGCATAAGAAGTTTGGAAAAACTGGGCTAAATTAGGAAAACTATGATACTATTTTACCAATCTATCTATATCTATCTATCTATATCTATCTATCTATCTATCTATCTATCTATCTATCTATCTATCTATCTATCTATATCTATATCTATCTATCTATCTATCTATCTATCTATCTATATCTATCTATCTATACTATATTTAAATGCTAGTGACAGCTATCTCCCATGTTTAAGCATATAAATTTTGGATGTTTAACGAAAGAATTTTTTCATGTTTAAGCTATATCATATATTGCCATGCTTAAGAAAACTTTTCATTTAGTTTTCCGCAAGGTCATTAATTTTTCAGTAATTTTTTTCGAGGCCAAATTAAGTCTGTCTGTCTGTATACCTGCTGTTTTAATTAATTTGATTATGTCTGTCTACCCGTCTCCTATTTTTTTTTAAACTTTCTTCTATCAAATCTATTATCTATTATATATTTAAATGCGGGCTTCACTATCACGACATGTTTAAACTTTTTCAACGTATTTTTTGCATCTTTAACAAAAGAATTTTTTCACGTTTAAGCTATATCGTATATTGCAATGGTTAAGGTTTTTTTTCGATTTTCCCGTTTAAATTCAGTTTTTATTTCATCAAGTTTGTAATTAGCAACCCAATAGTTGGATGTTGTCAGAGTTTTCCCAGGTTTTGCTATTCTGACCTTTATATTGAATAACAAAAATTTTTCAAAAACTTAGATTTTAAAAAATTCCAGTACGTTGAAATCATCAGTCCTGTTGTTGGTTTTTGTGAGGGTACTCTTAGGAGTTGCAATTTTTGCCTCCAATTATGACTGCTCAAATTCTTGTAGTTTTCGAGATATGACGTTTTCTATGATTTTCTCCGAAATTTTCAAAAAAACATGTTAAAAAATTCCAAAACGTTGAAGATCTCAATCCTGTTATTAGAATCTTTTAGGGTACTCTCGTGGGGTTGCAAATCTTGCCTCTGAAAATGTCTGCTCAAAACCTTGTAGTTTTCGAGATATGACGTTTTTTAGGATTTTCTCAAAATTTTTCAGAGAACTTAGGTATAATTTTTTTTTTATAAAACTTGAAATTGCTATCTCTGTAGTGAGGCTCTTTGAGGGTACTCCCAACTCCCAGGAGTTGTGAATTTTGCCTCTAAATATGACTGCTCAAAACCTTGCAGTTTTCCAGATATGTTTTTTGTGATTTTTAAAAAAAAGTTCTATGAAAATTAAATTAGTTTTTTTTTCAAAGTTGAAATACCTAACCTGTAGTTGGGGGCTGTTAGAGTAATCTCAGGAGTTGCAAATTCGGTCTCCAATTAAGAATGCTCAAGTCTTTTTAGTTTAAGAAATACGACGATTTTTGTGATTTTTTTTGGTTTTTTTCTGAAAACTCAAATTACAAAATAGTTCACTAAAGTGAAATTCCCAACCCTGTAGTTGTGTGCTGTCAGAGTACTTTCAAAGATTGCAATTTTTGACATCTAATAAGACTGCTCAAATCTTGGTAGTTTTCGAGATGTGAAATTTTTTCTGGTTTTCAAAAAAAAATACCTCTTTTTAGAAAACTTAAGGTGAAGTTTCTCAATTTGAATTTCCCAACGTTGTAGTTGGGTACTGTAAGAGTAATCTCAGGAGTTGTAAATCTTGCTTCCAAATGCGGCTGCTCAATTGTTTTTAGCTTCCCAAATGTGACGTTTCATAGTTCATTTTTCGAAGAACTTATATAAAACTTCACAAAATTTTATGGTTCATCAAAATTCGAATAAAAAACTTGAATAAAATCTTTGCAAAATTTGTAATTACGAACCCTGTAATTGGGTGCTGTCAAAGCACACTAAAAAATGCAGATCTTATTTCCAATATATGCGGTTTATCATGAGTACCGGAGGTGCGTTTTACGCTAGTCCATTTTAAGCCGAACTACCTGAAAGTTTTTCTAAAAGAGCCATTATAATCTTGTTTTGACTCACCAGCTACCCCCTCTCTCTCGAGAAAATCTGCAATCCTCCCCTGCATAAAATCTTTAAAGACAAATAAAAGTTGCGCGGGTTTAAATAATATATTATCTTGAATCCTTTTCAGTTGTGACTAGGCCCTTTATTTTTTAAGCTCTTCAATTCTTTACAATTACATATATTCAGACTTCAAGTTTGCATGTTTCTTAGACTTAAATGTCCCAAATCAGGAAATGAAATAAAGCATAGAAACACCACATTGTAAACGTCTATGGATTTCCATCTTTGAACAAAAAACATGAAACTGGTTCTCGCGTATTTTTTTTTAATTCTTTTTGATTATTGACTGCACAACTCATGAAAGACTGCGGTCGCAATAGCAAATGTTAAATACTATGTTCAGAAAGCTTCAAAAATCATAAATCTGTTTTGTTTTTAAAAACTTAAATCAATTCATTGTTTACATTTGATAATTACCTAAATAGAAACATAGTTTCGGCTCTGCAACTTCACGAATTTGAACGGCTGTAAATAGTTTCGTAGCTTAAAATAGTTCTTCAAATGATAGAAATTGAACTGCATTTGCGCCTGCATAGCATAATGTCGGCTAGCACACGTTGCCGGAGAACATGACTGCGCTTTTTGCGTTTTTGGCCTTGACGTCGACCATGTATTGGTTCTCGTAGCAGTTTTCACTGTGGATACTGGACTTCGGATGCCCATTAGCATGATAGTCAGATGCTAAAAATAGACGAAACTCTCAAATCAGGAACTTGCTCTCAATTGCGCGTTTTGAACCGGAGATCAGATTTTTTCCCTTAAATAACTGTTCAGAATAGCTAAAATTAGAAATTTAATATTTACGCATGTACAACCTTTATAGGGCTTGTGAGCGCTTGCTAAATAGGCGGTACATGTAAGATCTTACAACCTTTTTTCTACTTGTAAGCAGTTTTGGTTAATGTTCAGCCATTGAAAATAGGCTTTAATTCTGTCGTCGTAGGTACCTAATATTTTTTTTTTCTGCGGAGCGGTGGTTACATATAGTTCAAGTTTTTGTTTTTATATACAAAATTTTGGTAGTGAAAAAAAAAATGAAATATTGCAGGTCTCTCAGTATGTTAGGTTGATTGGAATTAGTTTCTAGCATCTAAGCATCCAAATTCTGTTGATAGTTGAGATAATTTGTAAATTGATTTAATGCAGGCAATGGCGCATCGAACTTTTTAAAATATCGGTAAAGTTTTTCAAAATAAATCAAAAGCTTCTTAAAAACATGTATATGAATTTCCATTGAACTAACATTTTTCTGTCAACAGGTATTTGGCGAGCAGATATTTTGTGACTCGCGATAAGCTAGCATTATTAAATCGGAACTTGAATGTTTTCAGGCTAACAATTTGCTTAACAGAATCAGTGAAGCATTTTACCCTTTTTTCAATTCAATGTTTTAAGCCAAGAGGTAACGCCCATTAAGCCAAGAGGTAATGGCAATGCTTGGTCATACAAGGCCTGATAGTCTAGTCTGGGTGAGACCTGTTTTTTTTCGCGTTTAAGAAATTTTCTGCTTTTGGAAAATCTTACTTTATTATCATGTATTTGATTTTTTTCCGACCAAGTTAGTGACCAAGTTAGGGATATTTGAAAGAAAGCCAACTTGAAGTAAGCATTAAGGCAAAGTTTTGGAGATATCATGAGTTTCACATTTGAAATTTATTTTCGCTTTTCGAAGCCGTACTTCCCGATACAACTAACCGGATATAACAATAGAAACTGTTCAAAACACGAAACTTTTAATGCGAAAAAAATATGGCAACTTGGAACTCAGTTAGCTGCACCATGGAAAAATACTAAATTTGGCTTTCTAAATTGTTTAACAGCTTAAATTTCCAGCAAAGAGTGTGTTGAGGGAACTTGGCCGGCAAAAGATTAAATACATGATAGTGATGTAAGATTTTCCAAAAGCAGAAAATGTCTTAAAGTTGATTTCAAGTTTGGCTTTCTTTCAAATATCCCAATTTTTTAATGACCTAGTTGCAACAAGTTTTAGCTCCTACATTGGTGATAAAAGCATGAGCAACTATTGCATTGTTCCTCCAGGCCATGAACTGCTGCTGGTGCAGTCCCATTGGGCAAGGTATGAGGAGACACTTTCTCCACATCTGTCACGGACTTCACACTGTTCGAATTTGAATTTCCCACTATCGGTTTCATCACCTTCTTCGGAACACATTTGCTTTTCTCCCTTGGGGCCAAAATGGGTTCGAATCCGTTCAAGGGACTGTCCACTTTATTGGAGCGATCTGATTGGCTAGAATGGGGACTGCTGTTACTCAGTTTCGATTTGTTCACGCCGTTAGGCGAAGGCACAAACTTGGGCGGATGAGTTGCTACGACTGGTTGGTGTTGTATCGGACATACGTGTCGAGATGAACTGCTCTTAGACGAGGTTCTCGTATCGGCGGCATTTCGAAGATTGTCGCTGAGACATGGTTGTAAGTTGTCGTCGCGTGGAAACGCGGTCTCGTAGCGGTGGTTAGCACTGACACTGCTGCACGTAGACGCCATGAGTCCCTGGTCGCCGGCGCCTGAGAAGTCGTAGTCGTTGATGAAGTCTTCCTCTCGACAGTCGTACTCTGGCTCTGTTATTTTGTCTCGAGGGTCACTTCCACATACTGAAAGAACTATTTAGTTTTTCATAATTCATCAGCTCAAATGTAAACCAATCCTCTGCTCTGAATGCCTGTAGTCGAACGGTTTTCAATGGTAACCCAAAAAAAAAACGTTCAAAAATACTTGAAATATTGCTCATAACTTGTTTTGAGTGGGATTTGAACGACAACTTGACCCGCTTTAGCACAGTTAAGTTAGTTCAAATTAAACACATAGCGGGACGCTTTTGCCCTTTGTGCGTTCATCTTCCCTTTCAGACCGTGCTTTCCTCGCAATATCACAGTAAACCGTAATTTCTGCGACAGATATTCTACCGACCTGAACTGAGTGCGATAGTTGATGCCTCATATAAGGACTCTATATCTGAAGAGGGGGGCTCTCCGAGAAGGGGAGGGGCTGCCACCCCACACGTGTTGTCCTCTCCGTCACTCAAGTTCACACCACCGTCTAGAGGGGGCGCCGACCCACTGCCTAAAATTACAATCTGTGTAAAGTTTGCCCAAACTTAGGACTTAGCTCTGTTGTTGGTTATTGCTTTAGTTAAATCTTTAAGCTCTAGTTAAAGCTTTGGTTGTTAGTTTAGGATTCTTTTCGGCGTCCAAAAAGCATTAAAGTCAACCCCACAATTCGATCTCTAATAACTCCATAGATAAACTTAAACACATTTATATCTGCCATGTAAAGGTTGAACTCCAATTTATGTTTTAGCTTAATTTAAATTAAGTAAAGCGAAACTTTTTTTCGACCTAGTTCATTTAAAAAGAAGCAAGCGAACATAGCCAACAGGCAGAAATTTGAAAATTAACATGCACTGTCAAAATTAGAAGTCGATCTTGTTTTTTGTGACCTTTACATCCGATAGTGGAGTTTGCCTTCCTTTCAACAAAGGAAATGAGCTGAACTTTGAAAAAAAATCATAATTGAAACCGCGAAGAACCAAATTTGAGCCTGAACAAATCTTAAGACTTTCTGAAAAAAATCATCGCGACCTATATAAGAGTCTGCACTACGTTCTTCGACTGTTAAAACTGGTCTTGCAAGGAACTTACTGTTACAGTGGTCTTGCAAGTGGGGGTTGGAAATTGCACTCTGCATCTGAAAAGAGCCACCGGGTGATCTTTGTGTGTAAGACCCCGCCCCCGATGGGGGTGTGGTGCGAGGGGGAGGGGTTGTCCTGGGCTTGGTGAGTATTGCGATTGGACATCCGAAATTGCGAAGGTTCTCCTCTTGGGATAATATCATGACCCTGTTGTTCTTGGGCTGTGGGGAAGGTCCTTTTCCCCCTTTTGACCCCGAGGGGCTCACGTGACCCTGGCCCTGTCCTTGTAGTTGATTTTGGTTGAAGGGTATTTCTGCATAGGAGTTGCTGAATTGAGCAGATTTTAAAATTAATTTACTTCTAATGAAACACGTTTCAGATAACGATCAGTCTGTGCATATAAGGCAGAGAAGTAGTTGAATAAAATATTAATAAAAACAATCAGAACATTTCTACCGTCAAAAATCAACAGCCAATTCGAAAACATGCAACCAAGTCGAATTTAATTTTCATAAAAAAACAAGACAAACATAAATTACATTTTCATGCGTTTTTACATAGCGCCCATAAATTGCTCGAGATGACACTTTGGTCCTGGACCATCGGAAACTGTCTTCGCTTAAGAAACACTTGAACCCGGCTTGAACTCAGAAGTTATCGGAAACCTCCTTGACTACTGGTCATCGGAAACCTCCTTGTTTTAAGATCATTACTGATGCCATTTTTTTGTGCCCCGAGAGGGCATGCATCCATGCATATGCATACAACCACCTAATTTCAACTAGAGTAATTGTAATCCAGCGCAGACCACGCACCTCGTGTTTTTTATTTTGCTCATCGCAATATGAGGCAGGATGTTGCCTATCATCACTTGCACATTAAACATTTAGAACATTTCTACCAACAATATTCAACAACCAATTCGTAACATCAGTTGAACCAAGTGACTTGTGATCATAACGCAATAGTGTCAGAGTTCCATAAAAGATTATTCGGATAGCTTTTCTATTGACCTTAAAAAAGAAATGAGATAAGCTCAAAATCTGCTATCTTTCATAGTATAGTGCCCATGAAATTGCTCGAACTCGCAGAACAAGCCCGTGCAAGAAAACTGTCTTGACTTAACTAAAGGATGATCATCTTAACCCATCTTGAACCCAAAAAATATCGAATGCAGCCTTGATTCTAGATCATTGGATCTGGCAGGATTTCATGTTTACTGGTTAAAGCGTTAACTGCAGTCGTCACAACCCGCCTTGGTATCTGGAACTACCGACACTATATTTAAGGCTGCGAGGGGGCATGCAACCATTCACATGAATGCTACCAATGCAATGTCAGTTGGAGGAGTTCCAATCCAGGACAGCACCTAATACTTTTTTTGCTCATCGCAAGTTGAGGCGTGCTGTCAAGTATTCCAAATAAGCAATCGCGTTCAACAAAAGCAATCCGATAATTTCTATAGCCAAATGTCAAAAACAAATTCGAAACATCAGTTGAACCAAGATTCTTGAGATCATGAAAGCAAAAATCGTATTATCAAAAAAGCATCATATTATCAAAAAAGAAGACAAGCATAAACTCTACTCTCTTACTTGATTCTTTTTCTCTCAAAACTCGATGATTTGACGCCTTGCTACAAACGCATGTTATGCTGGATACATATGATGAGCAACGCTTACAGTAATATAAATTGAACTAAACCTATATCACACACAGGTGAAGCAGAGCTCCGCGCCACTGGCAATATAACTCAAGCGTCACATAGCAAGCTAGCGAATAGAAATTGAGACAGAAAACACTAGGTCGAAAAAAATTCTTAAAAATTGAAGTTTGACAAAATGAAAATTTCAATTTGAAAAAAAAAAACAGTAAAGAAACCGAACCACCGTTATTAATTAAGCTTTTATCTTCAATTGCCAATCAGCCGCTGCGCCGACAATAATTGAGAAGACGCACATAGAGCCGAAAAAAAGCCGTAAGAAATTGTTTTGACAAAAATTTTGAGATTAAATTTCATAACTTGAAACTTTTACAGACAACCGTTCTGGACTGTCTTTAAATAAAACTTGCAATTTTGCTTTTAAAATTTGAAACGACACTAAAAAGTGACTGAATCGATAAAACGTAATCCAAAACCATTATTATAAAAAATAAAAACAGAAAATCTTATTCAGAACCCGAGTTGGAAAGTTGACGAAATAACAAGACGACTGTCAAAAACAGTAAAAACTGTTTAAATCAGAAAAACTCCATCATTGCTCATTAAGCCGATAAAAAGCAGGCAAAAGAAAATCCGACAAGTCAGTTTCGCCTAGGAAAAATTTCAATAATTTATACTGAAAAAAACAAGGTCAGACCGCGACTCGAACCTCAGACCTAGGGTGAAAGGCAATGTGACACCTCTAGACTAAGTTGGAAGGAGCCTGGCATTTGTTAAAGTTCAATAACAAATAAAATTCAATTTCCTCCAGTTAGCATTTTTAACACAGAGGTGAAGCTGCGCTTCTCAAACATTTGCGAGAACACGACAGAAAAGCAGCTTTTAAGTGAAAAAAGAAAAAATAGAAATAAGCCTTGAGTTAGTAAAACGTTGCTTCGAATCGGATTTGGTCCTTCAACCTCGAGATTTCGAGTCTCACGGCCCACTCGCTAAGCCACGGACTCTTAACACCACACAATCGCTAGTCACAAATAAAGCAGCTACATATGCTAATAAATTGCCAATGCTCAGCTGGAAAAGTGGATAAACTCAGCTGATAAACTTAAACACATTTATATCTGCCATGTAAAGGTTGAACTCCAATTTATGTTTTAGCTTAATTTAAATTAAGTAAAGCGAAACTTTTTTTCGACCTAGTTCATTTAAAAAGAAGCAAGCGAACATAGCCAACAGGCAGAAATTTGAAAATTAACATGCACTGTCAAAATTAGAAGTCGATCTTGTTTTTTGTGACCTTTACATCCGATAGTGGAGTTTGCCTTCCTTTCAACAAAGGAAATGAGCTGAACTTTGAAAAAAAATCATAATTGAAACCGCGAAGAACCAAATTTGAGCCTGAACAAATCTTAAGACTTTCTGAAAAAAATCATCGCGACCTATATAAGAGTCTGCACTACGTTCTTCGACTGTTAAAACTGGTCTTGCAAGGAACTTACTGTTACAGTGGTCTTGCAAGTGGGGGTTGGAAATTGCACTCTGCATCTGAAAAGAGCCACCGGGTGATCTTTGTGTGTAAGACCCCGCCCCCGATGGGGGTGTGGTGCGAGGGGGAGGGGTTGTCCTGGGCTTGGTGAGTATTGCGATTGGACATCCGAAATTGCGAAGGTTCTCCTCTTGGGATAATATCATGACCCTGTTGTTCTTGGGCTGTGGGGAAGGTCCTTTTCCCCCTTTTGACCCCGAGGGGCTCACGTGACCCTGGCCCTGTCCTTGTAGTTGATTTTGGTTGAAGGGTATTTCTGCATAGGAGTTGCTGAATTGAGCAGATTTTAAAATTAATTTACTTCTAATGAAACACGTTTCAGATAACGATCAGTCTGTGCATATAAGGCAGAGAAGTAGTTGAATAAAATATTAATAAAAACAATCAGAACATTTCTACCGTCAAAAATCAACAGCCAATTCGAAAACATGCAACCAAGTCGAATTTAATTTTCATAAAAAAACAAGACAAACATAAATTACATTTTCATGCGTTTTTACATAGCGCCCATAAATTGCTCGAGATGACACTTTGGTCCTGGACCATCGGAAACTGTCTTCGCTTAAGAAACACTTGAACCCGGCTTGAACTCAGAAGTTATCGGAAACCTCCTTGACTACTGGTCATCGGAAACCTCCTTGTTTTAAGATCATTACTGATGCCATTTTTTTGTGCCCCGAGAGGGCATGCATCCATGCATATGCATACAACCACCTAATTTCAACTAGAGTAATTGTAATCCAGCGCAGACCACGCACCTCGTGTTTTTTATTTTGCTCATCGCAATATGAGGCAGGATGTTGCCTATCATCACTTGCACATTAAACATTTAGAACATTTCTACCAACAATATTCAACAACCAATTCGTAACATCAGTTGAACCAAGTGACTTGTGATCATAACGCAATAGTGTCAGAGTTCCATAAAAGATTATTCGGATAGCTTTTCTATTGACCTTAAAAAAGAAATGAGATAAGCTCAAAATCTGCTATCTTTCATAGTATAGTGCCCATGAAATTGCTCGAACTCGCAGAACAAGCCCGTGCAAGAAAACTGTCTTGACTTAACTAAAGGATGATCATCTTAACCCATCTTGAACCCAAAAAATATCGAATGCAGCCTTGATTCTAGATCATTGGATCTGGCAGGATTTCATGTTTACTGGTTAAAGCGTTAACTGCAGTCGTCACAACCCGCCTTGGTATCTGGAACTACCGACACTATATTTAAGGCTGCGAGGGGGCATGCAACCATTCACATGAATGCTACCAATGCAATGTCAGTTGGAGGAGTTCCAATCCAGGACAGCACCTAATACTTTTTTTGCTCATCGCAAGTTGAGGCGTGCTGTCAAGTATTCCAAATAAGCAATCGCGTTCAACAAAAGCAATCCGATAATTTCTATAGCCAAATGTCAAAAACAAATTCGAAACATCAGTTGAACCAAGATTCTTGAGATCATGAAAGCAAAAATCGTATTATCAAAAAAGCATCATATTATCAAAAAAGAAGACAAGCATAAACTCTACTCTCTTACTTGATTCTTTTTCTCTCAAAACTCGATGATTTGACGCCTTGCTACAAACGCATGTTATGCTGGATACATATGATGAGCAACGCTTACAGTAATATAAATTGAACTAAACCTATATCACACACAGGTGAAGCAGAGCTCCGCGCCACTGGCAATATAACTCAAGCGTCACATAGCAAGCTAGCGAATAGAAATTGAGACAGAAAACAGTAGGTCGAAAAAATTCTTAAAAATTGAAGTTTGACAAAATGAAAATTTCAATTTGAAAAAAAAAAAACAGTAAAGAAACCGAACCACCGTTATTAATTAAGCTTTTATCTTCAATTGCCAATCAGCCGCTGCGCCGACAATAATTGAGAAGACGCACATAGAGCCGAAAAAAAGCCGTAAGAAATTGTTTTGACAAAAATTTTGAGATTAAATTTCATAACTTGAAACTTTTACAGACAACCGTTCTGGACTGTCTTTAAATAAAACTTGCAATTTTGCTTTTAAAATTTGAAACGACACTAAAAAGTGACTGAATCGATAAAACGTAATCCAAAACCATTATTATAAAAAATAAAAACAGAAAATCTTATTCAGAACCCGAGTTGGAAAGTTGACGAAATAACAAGACGACTGTCAAAAACAGTAAAAACTGTTTAAATCAGAAAAACTCCATCATTGCTCATTAAGCCGATAAAAAGCAGGCAAAAGAAAATCCGACAAGTCAGTTTCGCCTAGGAAAAATTTCAATAATTTATACTGAAAAAAAACAAGGTCAGACCGCGACTCGAACCTCAGACCTAGGGTGAAAGGCAATGTGACACCTCTAGACTAAGTTGGAAGGAGCCTGGCATTTGTTAAAGTTCAATAACAAATAAAATTCAATTTCCTCCAGTTAGCATTTTTAACACAGAGGTGAAGCTGCGCTTCTCAAACATTTGCGAGAACACGACAGAAAAGCAGCTTTTAAGTGAAAAAAGAAAAAATAGAAATAAGCCTTGAGTTAGTAAAACGTTGCTTCGAATCGGATTTGGTCCTTCAACCTCGAGATTTCGAGTCTCACGGCCCACTCGCTAAGCCACGGACTCTTAACACCACACAATCGCTAGTCACAAATAAAGCAGCTACATATGCTAATAAATTGCCAATGCTCAGCTGGAAAAGTGGCAACAAAAACAAGACATAATTTGGCATGTATTAATTTGGAATGTAAAAAACTGAAGGCATCCACGCTAAATTGGCATGTAAGATGTAATAAATTCGAAACATAAAGCCAAATTTTTGGTTCATTTGAACAGTGAGATCTGCATCAACTGTGTTAACTTATAACTAATCGAATATCAAAGCACATGCCATCAAAAAGCTGTTGTAGGTCAGAAAAAAATAGTGATACTAACTATAACACTACCGCTTTAAAGTTGGCTAGTGTAAAAAACGGAAACGGAAAGGAAATAAACCCACAAATCCTATTTTTTTAGAGTTTTTAATCAGTTTTTATTCAAAAAATTTTCTAGGATGGTGTATAAAAAACGTTGTCATATCAATGCTGCTATATGACCTTTTGGAAAGAGCATGTTTCTTACTGATTTGTAAGAAATTTTTGTACTGGAAAAACATGTCTATTCCCCGATTACAAGAAACTCCCACAAATGTAAAAGCATTTATATAATATAGAAAATACAAACATACTCACAGTGAATACGAAATTAATTAAACAATAGTGAATAAAACTGGTTTGAGAGGTAACCAACAAACATTTTGTCTTCAATCTACCTAAACATGCAAGTAGTGTGAAGTTTCAGCCGCTACAAACCGTTGATCTGTTGAAGATTCAGACGAACAACAGTAATACACACTGTGCCGGTACTCGCCACTACTTCGCGACGCAGCCGAAGTTCGCGGACGCGTCCCAATGGCACTGCCACTTTGCGAGTTATTAATTGCATCTTCATCGCTAATAGGGGTTGTATAATTGCCCTCGTGAACTAACGAGAGACGTCGTGACTTTTTGGATCCCCGCGAGTAAGATGAACCGAGAGTGTTGTTTAGGGTGTATAGACGTTGGTATTTGTTTTCGGTTATCTGACATGGGTCTTCGTATAGATTGGTCTGTGGTGTTTCGACTATGGGGTTAGTGGTGAAGTCGACTTTGCTATGAGAGCGTGTTAGGTACTCACGAGTCCAGCTGCATGTTAATGGGACCAAACATTCATTAGAAGCAAATATTTGGTTTTTAAAAAGTGATAATGGTTTTGTTTTAAGAAGTTAATTGCACTCGAACACTCTGAATATGTTATACATATGCGAGCAAGATTAGATTGAATGGTTCATTAAAACTTTTCCGCGTATTAAACTTTTTTAATGGTAAGATGGGATATTTTGTTGACCTTTCTGATTGTTGTATACATTTTTTAAAATATTGTATAATAAATTAAACTCATGAAGTGCTTAATAGCGCGAGATCTAGTTTGTTGCGATAGCATCTCTTACTGCTTTGCTTTCTATAGAATAAAGAGCTGGGATCTACTTAATAATTTCCCCCTTTCTAGAAAGGGGAGGGAGGAGATTGTAAGGCAGATTAAATTAGTCGAATTTTCAAGTTATCAGAATGCTGCAAAATTAGTATTTTCAATGGAAAGCTATATTGCTAATTTACTGTATTTATTCATAGGGGTGGAGTTTCTTTAGAAGATACCATAGAGGATTGTTGAAAAGCTTTTTTGGTTACTTAACGGTTTTCCTAAGGTGAAACTGCAGCACCCGATTTGTCCGCATAAGTTAAGCTGGATTGCTTCTAGTAAGGATGTACTCACCCGAAGTTTGGATGTGACACTGTGTTTATTCTCGGGTGGTGGAAGTGCATTATGCTACTGTCGCTTGGACTCCCGGTTCCGGAAGATCCACGACTAGCCTGGCCGATGAGAGCAGAGGCAGAATTGTGGGGGTGAGGTATCGGATTAGTGGGGGAGTATTGGAAATTGTAGTTGCAGTTGTTCGGTGGTGTAGAGGTTCCGTTGTTGCGCACGACTTGGTTCGTTTTGGAGGAGTCACTGTACCTGGGAAGTGTCATGTTTCCCCCTCCCTCTCCCCCGGAATTGGATCTCCCTGTTAAGAAGGCAGTCGTTTGCAGCCCCCCTTGATGGTGGTCGTGTTGATGAGGGTGAATGTGGGGCGAGTGGTTTGTTTTCACTCCTTGTCGCAATAAATCGGGACCTGGAAAGTTCGTCAATTCAATAGAAGTCATATGAACTCAAGGTGTGTTTTTATCAGTGGAGTGGCTTGACTACAATCAATATCAATGCACTTAAAAAGGAAAGTCACCGAAAGATAACGCCGTTTTCTGAATAGCTTACTTCATTAGAACTCCAAGATAATGTAAAGCTGCAACTACAAAAAACCTGTAAAGGACACAAAAAATGTTTTTAAGTTGTCTTTAAGAGGCAAAATTATCGAAAAAGTACAGAAAATTAATGTCATTCAAAACGTGGATAAAAACTAAAGGTAAGTTAATTAGGTTCTCTGTGAAATCTTGAATGGGAAATAATTCACTTACAGTTCTGCATGTTCTGAGTGTTATGCTGTGCCACATGACCCCCGCATTGTGAGCAGGGTCTAGTACCTCCCCAATGAACAGATCCAGTCGAAGACAACTGGCCCCCTCCGCCCACTACCCCTGCACCCCCTAATAGTCTGACTCCATTGCTGTCCCTGCTATGCTCCCCTTCTGGTCCATGAAGGGCAAGTCTGTGTATGGAGCCAGACATGTCGTTGTTCCTGTGAACAGTTTTTCGTTTTTTGAATATATCTATATTTTAGGAAACACAGATGGTGTTGTCAAATCCATGAAAACAAATCTTACGAAAACACTGCCCTTCAAGTGATTTGTCTTTTTGTTAGTTTTCGTTTTAAAAGTTTATAGGAATTAGTTTTTTTAATTTTGGCAGCGAAGGCGTTGTTGCAAAACTTTTCTAGCCGGTCAGGCAAAAACTAACCTCGTAAAGCTATACTTAGGCTTCTTTTTGATTGCATAAAAGCAACATACTTGTTGGCGGCATTTGCAGAGTGACACTCGCTGTAGTGTAAGTATCTGGCCCTGTGGAACCTCCTGTAGAGCCAGAAGGCCACTACCATCAGTACAGTCCATAGTATGACCCCCACTGTGGCCACGAACCATGTCTCACTCCAGAACCCACTCTCCTCACCAAGTCCTAATGAAACAAGGATAGCTGGTTAATGTGCAAGTAACACAGAATGTTCCGACCATAGTCGTAAAAAATACCAAAAAAAAACAATTTTTTAGAACTTGGGCATATTCGACAGTCATTATAAAATAGGCAAATCGGAAAACTGTTTTTGTAAAAAATTGAATAGAAAACTAAAAACCATCATACAAAAAATCAAAAGGATGCTGGTACTTTTTGAAATTGAAAAAAAAATTTCTTATGTTTTTGATTCTCAAACTGGAGGAAACAAAACCAAAAATAAACGTTATTCGAGTAAAATTAACTTTTCACGGCTTAAAATAAGCATAAATAAGCTATTTTAAGCCTGCTCGGTTACCTTATTTGCTCGACCATAAATCAGACCAAAATTTCAATGTGTTGTTTTTCTCGACACTGGGAAAAATTTCTCAAAATTTTCAAATGTTGCTTGAGTCACGACTGAAAGAGCTTTAATATAATATCTCTCGACATTTTCTGATGATTATTTGTGGTGCCTGATTTTGCGTGGAAAACAACAAAAAAAGAAAATAAGGATAGCCGGTTAATGTGCACGCAGCAAAGAATGCTCCTATTATAGTCTAAGAAATACAAAAAAGTGTTTTTTTTTAATTGTGTCATTTTTTTCTGCGTGGTGTAATGAACGGATCTGAACAAAAAAACTGGAAGCTAGGAAAATTGGACAGTCGTAGTTAAATAGCCAGACTGTAGAAAAATGGCTAACAAAACAAAAAAAAATGTCAAAAAAACTTCAAAAAATAATTTTTAAATTGGTTTTGCAGAACTTTTTTGGAGTCCATTTACAAATGGCGCTAAAAAACTCTGAAAACAACTTTACTTGAGTAAAACTAAGTTTTCACGGCCTAAATTTAAAAAAAAATAAGCTATTGTAAGCCTGCTCGCTCGCATTGTTCGCACGAAGTTGGACTAAAAATCAAAAATTTTAACCTTGCTTTTCTCGATACTGGGACATTTTTATGGAAATTTTTAAGGTCCTTCGAATCACGAATGAAAGGGTTTTAATATGATATATCTCTCGACCCATTCCCGAAAATATTTGTGCTAGCTGATTTTGCGTGGAAAACAAAAAGAAAAGAAAAAAGAAAGAAAAAAAAACTAAAACCCACCCGAATACAAAATTTTTCCCCATTTTTCAGATTGTCAAAAAACTTAAAAGGATAACAATGAATTTTTTTTTCAAAATCTGGAATCCTTGAATCACACTTTTCAATACTCTGCAGCAGGATATCCTATCCGTCAATCTATTTACATGCGACTTTCATTTACTGTGATTCACTATGATTGTACAAAATCTGTTTATACGCACAAAACCAAATGTTGAATAGAAATAACTAACAAATCTGGTGATACCTATATTTAAAAAGTTTATTTTTTTTGTTGAAAAACTATTTTTTTGCGATTAATATGCATGTTATAAATGAGCTGATGTGTTTTTGAATTTTCTAAGGAGTTACAGAGTGAGGTATTGTTTACCAATGTTGACTTTGACGATGGGGCTCTTGAGTCCGTGGCCAGGGACCTGGTTGAGTGCGGCTATCTGGAACCAGAGGTCGTCTATCTTGGGCAGCATCTGGTACGTGACCGAGTTGGTGTGGTTGTCCACTGTGTGGTTCTTTATGGTCTCCATCTCACTCGTGAACACCCAGATCTGGTAGCCTACACGCAAATGAATCATTTAGCACACGAATACTAACAAGGGAGTACTCAGTTACTGTACAAGCACCTTATAATATACCAATCTTATTTTTATGAAGTTTTTTTAAAATTCAATTAATATCCTTTGTTTGAGTTGTTGCTTTGACTTTCTAAAGAAGTTATGGAACAAAATTTGTCAAGTATCATAAATTATTCAAAACAAAAATAAAACATAGTTTTTCATTATTAGATTGGGGAAAATTGCATTGGGGAAGATTGGGGAAAATTGCAATAAGTCATCATTTTGCATATTTAGGCTTATTAAAAATATCTTTTTAAACGGTGTATTGCTCTCTTAAAATAAATCACGATTAATTTGAAACAATAACTAGATTCAATAATTAACTACCTGTAAGAAAATCTGAATTCCAGTACTGTTTCGGAGGCGGAGACCACGTGACCAGCAATGACGTCCGATTCTTACTCAGCACTGTTTTGATTTGAGTCGGCGACTCCGAGGGCAAGTCGGGAAGAGTCCTTGCATACACAGTTCGGGTTTCTTTTCCGACTGGAAAAGACTAGTGTTTTGTTCATCATTTTAGTCAAATTATTCATGGGTTGTAGAATAAAAAGATTGGCAAATTATAAATCAATCAAATTATCATGAAATATAGAATCAAAAGAAAAAACTTGAATTCGATGGTTTTGAAGTCAGTAGATCAAAGGAACCTGAATGATGATGAAGCATGGTGAAGAAAGCCTGCACACTTAGTTCATATTCTGTGAATGGTCTGAGGTTTCCGAGCACGTATGCCCTGATTATGCTGTTGTCCACGTGGGCTATTGACTTGGAGAAAGCACTGCTTTTTTCCTTGTACATTATGTAGAATCCCTGAAAATGAATCAACTTGTCCACCTGGAAATCCATTTCAACCAGTGAAGTGGTCTTCATTTTGATTCGTAAAATGACTGAAGCTTCCCATTAGTATTATATTTTAATCTCAAGATTAAAACTTTAATCTAGCTAGAACTCTGATTAAAATTAAATTGAAATCCTTCAAGTTCTTTGATTAGCGTTATATGATGAATAATTATGATCAAAGATACATTTCTAATTTGGCTTATAGTTTCTTCCACAACTTTCTAAAAAGTTTATTAAGTTTTTTGAAAATTTTGCAACTTCGCAAACGTTAGCGAGAAAGCGGCAAAAGGAGCTTTAAAAATTTAAATGCACAAAAAAGTTGCCAGTAATCATTTGGAGAGTAATAAACTAAAGGCAAAAACAATATCTTATTTGCATGTAATAAACTGGATTATATAAAAGCCCTTTGTGTATAAATTGTGGAGTTCAAAAGTCTCGCTAAACAGAATAAATTATGAAGAAAATTTTCTGATATGGAATTTTCATTCCGACCGTTAAAAAAGGGGGAAGAACTTTGTGTTCGGGTGTGTTATAGTTTTTGATCCGACCATTGAAAATGGAGAAGAATTTTGTATTCGGATCTGCTATATTTTGTTCTTTTTGTTTTCCACGCAAATCATGTACCAAAAATAAACCACATTAAAAAAACTTCAATTTTTATCTCATTTCGAGCGAATAAAGCGAGCAAGCATTCTTCTTTTAATTGCTTGAAAGCTTACAATAGTTAATTTAAAACGTAAAAACTTAGTTTTACTTGAGTAACGTCCGTTTATTTAGAGTATTTTAGCAACTTTTCAGAATCAAAATGTTCAAAAAATTCAAGAAACTGCAAAAATTTGTCGATATTTTTTTTTGATTTTTTTGGTTTTCTTGTAATTTTTCTACAAAAATTGTTTTTCATTTTGCTTATTTTACTATGAATGTCAAATATAGCTACTCTCCACTTTTTTTTGTTCATCTCTTTTTTATCAAACCACACCGAGAAATAAAAAGACAATAATTTGAAAAAAAAAACTTTGTATTTTCTGAAGACTAAGGTCGGAACATTCTACTACAAGTATAACAGCAACCGTCTATCATTGTTTCTCTTTTTGTTTGTTTTTAATTTCCACGCAAACTCAGGTGCGATTTTTGATTTTTCGTCTAATTTTGAGCGAGCAGGCTTATGATAGAAAGATAGTCGCAAGCTAGCATTAAATAAGCCATAGTTTTTTCTCACTCATGACGTAAAAAATTTTACAAAATTAGTTTTCAAAAATTTTTAGCGCCATTTTGGAAATTAAAATTTTTGAAGGAGTTTATTTTTCAATATACCTAATTTTACTATGAAGAACGGAAATGCCTAACTTTTTGTCTTTCATTCAGATCCCTTCATATCACTACGCACAAAAAAAACTGAAATAATTTTAAATTTTTTTTTCGTAGTTTTTCATCAATATCGTCAGAACATTCTGTGCTACTTGCCCAGCAACGTGCTAATCTTGTTTTTTATGTTAATGTAAAAAGCAAACGCTTTTTTTGGTTCAGTTAATGAATTAAAAGGCGTCATCTGTGTTAAATGCTTTTTCGGTTGAATCGAATTTAAAAAAAGCAGAGCCTGCTATAAAATTTTACTGCATATGAAATTAAATTGCCAATGCTGCATGATCTGCAGAAAAGACACCAAAAGCAGACAGCTAGAATTCGCGACTTAGGTTGGGAAAAAGTTGCCATGTATTTTTAAACTACACTTCACTTGTGTAAACCTTAGTCGTTTTATCTAGAACTTTTTTTAAAGTCTTGAAATAAAATTCAGAAAATTTAGAAGTTTCGTCATTGTATTTAGAATTTTTTACGCTTGCGATTAGTAAAATTTATCAAATTGGAACTTTTTATGTGAGCAAATTGTTTGAGCAAACCTCCGAATCATTTCGTCAACTCTTTTGTCCGGTTTCGTCAATTCCGAACTTTGGCAACTCCGATTTTGTAAAATTTCATTTTTAATCGCTTCAAAAAGTTTATTCGACCTGAACGGTTGCGGTGTGAAAAAAATCGGCTCAATTACCTCATTTTCCTCTTAAAGGGTAAAAAAAAGAGCTTCTTTTACATGTATGTGATCTTCGAAAAACACTCAAAACTTTTTAAACTCGACGCGTATGTCTGCCCAACTATTATCGGCTTCGTTTCTTCTGTTTTAATGCTAATTCTAGCTGGCAATTAATCTCCTTGAAAGTATTTTCTCGGTATAAACAAGACAAACAAAGTTCAACTTCTGAAAAAAAGTTGGTTTTTTGACACTTTGCAAAGTATTTGTCCGATTAAGCGGCTTTATCTCCTGTTTCTGTTGGCTAGATTGCCATTGCCATGATGTATCTTTACTGCATCAAACTGGTACCAAGCTCTGATTCGCTCTCTGCGTATAATCTTGGTGTCTATCGGTGAGCCAGTGTGAATGCACCTTTTTCTTCCGGTCGCGTCATTGAAAGTGACCGGAGAAACTATGGATTAGTTTTTTTCGTTCAATTTTGACTAGCGCAAAAAGAGCTGCTAGGGGTTCAAATGAAATATCATTTGCAATTTTTTTTGATATTGATGTCGAATCGCATTAAAAATTTCAAAACCGTTGTCTGATTGTAAAAACATTTGAATGGAATCTTTTTCATCTTTAAACTTTTTGGTTCAATGTTCTGTGCAATTTGCACAACAACCGGCCATCCTTCATCCGAAATCATTAATTCGCATACCGTGATGTATTGTGTGTTCCTGGCCACATCCCAGGCCAGTCTGACTGCGGTGGAGTTGAGTGGGAGTGGTTCTTGTAGTTCCACCCCCGCAGACAGAATCTGTTTCTGCACCAGTGCTGTGTTGTTGTACATCTGGTGCTGACCCAACTCCGCCTCCGACTGCGGGATGTCTAGAAAAGTTTCAAAATATGATAAAATGTGCCAAAAACTTAGTCGACAAGGCGAATTTAAGACAAAAGTTTTCGTTGTTAACAACGTAAAAAACGCTCAGTTCAGTTGACGCATCTTGTTTACCCTTGCGATAAACAAGGGTATTGCAACCGGGTACTTGACTTTTTCCCCGTAAATAACTTTGTACACAGGACTCTTTTCATCTGGACTCATTTTCTGGAAGAATCTTAGCTACAAATTTACCATGCTAAAAATATTTTGTGCTTGTTGTCATTTTAAATTAGTGTCATGTTCAAAATTATCTTTTTATTTAGTTAGTAACTTTACCAACTCGACTTGTTAAATTTTTTTCTTTATTGTTCTTTTCCTTTTTTCCGGCTTGATAGATTTCGGCTTATATTATATCGGCTTAGTCGCCTCATTTTGCTTCGTTCGATGAGCAATTTTTTTTGAATTTTCTGCAGCTTATTTTATATATTTTTCTGGCTTAATAAGTTTCACCCTATATTATATCGGTTTTGTGCCTCATATTGCGTCGGCTGAGAAGCGAAAAAGCTTTTGTCTGTAAGTGGGTGGCTTTTGAGGGTGAAGAGGACTTAATAACTTTTTATTAGTCTTAATCTTTTTGAATGTTTTTTTTTTGGCTTTTTGTTTTTCTTATTTTTTTGGCTGAATAGGTTTCGTCCTTATGCTTAGTGGTCTCATATGATTTTAATTTTCTAAAAAGTGTGTGTGTGTCTATTGAGGGTGAGGGGAACATATTAAAGTTTTATACGCCTGGGTCAATTTTTTCCAGCTTAAAGGGTTTTTGCTAAGGTATTTTCGGCTTTGTTACCGCTTGGTAAATTTTTTTCCTAGCTAACTTTACATCTTATTGTCTTGGCACGTTTTTTGTTTCTATATTTTCCGATTTTTTTTACTTAGCGACTTTCTTCTTTTGTATCACAAGTGGTGCGAAGCTCAGCTTCGCTTCTGTGTGAATCATTTATTTTGTCATTTGTCATTATTTTGTCTTTCTCACGGGTTTGAACCTCTCACCAACCAAAGGGTCCCCCTTGGTATTATGTTATGACATCAATTTCAGACCGAACAACGCAAAAATTTTCTGAAGACGCCTTCGGCGTCAATATATACAAACTTTGAAGGCGAGTGTGCTGAATTTTTTTGGTCAAAGTTTTCCAAAAAGTGCTCAAAAACAGCTTTTCCGAAACAGCTTTTCCGAAAAAACAGCTTTTACGAATATATATTTTTAAACTAATTCTGCAGCTTTAAATCATTTGGACTTTTTCCCTTACATGTAAAAATACAACTTGAATATAAGAAAACAAATTGTAAAAAAAAATCAATATACCTTTCGGTTTTTTCTTGAAGAGATTTTTTATTAAGTGCGCAAAAACTTTTGCACAGGGTTCTGATTTATTTAATTGTTACAAGTGTGGTCGGAGCATTGTCTCCACACCCGCACAGCAACCGGTTACTCTCGTATTGCAATTGAATGGTTGCCTTAACTTTGAACATGCGCTTCGATGTTTTCTTCGGATTTTCACCTTGCATTGTCATTTTTACTCGTGGAATGATTTTAGACTCCCCTTACAAAACTCTGTTTGAGGAAACCTTATTTCTTGTACAAATTGTGATTGCTTACGAGCGAGGAACAGTCCCTCAGATATCTTGCTGGGTGTGCCCACTCCGAATCTGTTCTGTGCCCTGACAAGGAAGAAATACTTCCTGTTGGAGGAGAGGTCTGCCAGAATGGCCCTGGTAGAAGGAGAGTCAGTCTCCACCACCTTCCACGAGTCAAGCTCATCACTGCATAAACAAAAACAAACATGAGAGGGTTGATTTAACTTTAATTATCTTAAGTTGTTCTGTAGAGCTTATCATTCTTTTTAACTTTGAGATATTGTTCCTAGCTCAATATTGCTAAGGGTCACATCCAAGTAAGACTCTCAGTAATGTCACTAATGCTTCACTTGGTGAAATATGAAGTTGGATTTCAAGATGAACTTGCATCTAAATTTCTTACTGTGTCTAAATTCTCGAACAGCAAGAAGTCTAAGCTATTATTCATAAATCACTGCTAATTTATGGTTGTCAGGCTTAGATCATTTATCCAACATATCCAATGGTCCAACATATTTTTCAGCTTTGAACGGAGAACCGCTGCTAAAAACGGTTGGATCCTTTTTTTATTAGCTGCGTTTTTGGTGATAAATGGTAAATGATGGTAACAATTGTATCATTTGGCAGTTGCCAATGATGATTCTACTCACTGATAGTATTCTATCCTGTAGATGGGGGGCTGTGAGACGATGATTTCATTTGGGGAGGGAGGGGGTCTGTTCCACTCCAATAAGATGGCACTGCTGTTTATCACTATCCCGAGGGGGGCTGACGGCTCCCCAGGCACACGCGCAACAGGGGGACTGTAGCGGTCTGAAAATTTACTTTAACCAGAGATCAGAGACTTTGAGTTACAAATAGAAACTTTACAGAACCGGCTGTTGTGTTAGTCATGTGGTGATTTTGGTATGTTCAAATACACAGGAAAAAAATTTTAACGTAAGTTTTAAGAAGCTTTACATTAAAGCATTTAAATATTAATTGAATTATCGCAAAGTTTTGATCGAAAGTGTACAGTTATACTAACTGAGAGGCGAGTACTTGATGGTGGCACTGCATTCGGCATGTCCATATTCAGTTGTCGCACGACAAGTATAGACCCCATCATCCTCGCCCGTCTTCTTGAACCGAAAGATGCGCAGTTGGCTGCTCGTTTTGTTATTGGACACGAGAAAGCGCATGTCAGTGGGCGGAAGCAGCTTTCCGTCTCGTAGCCAATCAAATTTCACCTCTGAGTCTTGGTGTTTGGGCTGCTGCACGAGTGAACAAATGGACTCCCAGTAGCTGAGCTGGCTGGAGGTTAAATTCGCATTCGTGGGACACACTTTGAAAATCGGTGGGAAGTTGGGCATCTCTGAAATTATGCAATGGTTCATTATCATAGGAGAACTCTGAGCATCAATGATTAAAATTTCCTATAACAAACGTTTTGATTCAGTCCAGATATCAAGTCGCTCTCGTTTTGATCAAATGCTGTAAACCTTCGTCAACTTGTCTGATTGGACGATAAACATTGATAGTCAGAATTATTTTTAAAAAAATAGTTAATTAAACTCTTCGTGCAATTTTTTCCAGTCGTTTGTAGCTGAATGGTTTTAACAGCAGAGAAATGAATTTATTTTTTCTACTGAAAGTAGTGACTGACTGTAAAGGAAAGTAATTACTCACTTTTTACAGTGACCTGCACAGTGGCTGTGAGTTGTCCGTGTCCATTATTGCCAACACACTTGTACTTGCCCATGTTGTTGGGTTGGAAGTGGGAGATGTGAAGAGTACCGTCTGCATCCACTCTCCTGTTCCCTGCCTCCTGGTCCATGAAGATGATACTGCCCTCGTTGTCCTGCAAACAACCACGCAACCCCCCTTTAAATAACAGACTATTTATGCCAATTAATCCTTCTACAAATCAATTTCAGAACAAAATAAACGTTTTCTAGATTTATTACATATATCAGAAAATTAATTGCCAAATTTGACACTTTTCAATTTTCAATTGACAGGAAAGGATCCAAGAACGGAGCATTTGATCCATATAAATTAATAGGATCTTTATATTTCCAGGCAGCGGTTATCTCGAATACATGTTATTGCAGCTCCTAAAACTAAAAGCATTTGAGCTTTCAGAAAACTGAAAATTCTCAAAAATGATGCTTGCCTCCCAGAAGACATTCACGGTTGGACTGCCCTCCATCTTGCACGGGATCCTCACTGACTCATTCACTGACAACTCTTCAGAGGCAGGTGGCTCAATGATGAATCTAGGGGGCTCTAAACAATCCAGATATTAATTATTCGGCCACAGCCTGGCCGATTTCGGCTGCTATAATGGTACCACGTCAAAGTTTTAGAACGACAACGACTTTGTGTCGCAAAAAAGCATCGAACATCAAATTGACTCACTCTGGAATAAAGGGAAAAGAGAAAAGACAAAATCACCTACCACAATGATTGGACTGGGTTGAGTGATATATCATATTAAAACCCTTACAGTCGTGATTCCAAGCACATAAAAAAACTTTCAAATAAATTTTCCCAGTGTTGAGAAAAACCGGTTTGAAATTTTTGGTTTTTTGTTTTATTTCGAGCGAATAAAGCGAGCGAGCAGCCTTATTTTAATTCCTTGAAAGCTTACAAAAGCTTAATTGAAAACGTAAAAATGTAGCTTTACTTGGGTAACGTTAGTTTACTTTGAATACTTTAGCGATTTTTTATAACCAAAATTTTCAAAAATTCAAAACAATGCAAACAATTTTTTGATTTTTTTGTTTTTCTAATTTTTCTACAAAAAATGTTCTTCAATTTGCTTATTTTGGCATGACTGTCGAATATAGCTAATCCTCAGTTTATAGTTCAGCTCCTTTCATCACACTACGCCGGAAAAAATGACAAACATTTGAAAAAACTTCGTTGTATTTTTTAAGACTATGATGGGAACATTCTGTGCTACTTGCACAGTAACCGGCTATCCTTGTTATTATTGTTCCGACTTTCGATACGAAAGTAACCGAATATTTGTGCTCGGGGTGGGTTTTTTTTCTTGAAACAAATTTCGACTTTTTAGTTTGCCATTTTTGACGGAATTTTTTTTATATCGATCGAAAGGTGTTGTTGTCCTGAGCTTAAATTTGAAAAGATACTTTACCTGTGATCATTTTTCCAAACGTTATGGGGGTTTAAAGATTGGCATTTTGGCCAATTTGGGACAATTAACGCGCGATAAATTTCGCGCTATTAACGCGTCTGCGGAGATTTAATCCGTTCTAGAAATCGTTCCAAATTGGTTGAAATAAGCTTAATTGATTGTTACTAGCAGCAAAATCTATTCTTTTGTGTTTTATATGGCGTGTGGGGGGATGATTTTCATAAAAAAGTTCAAATTTCAGAAAAAAATTTCATTTTGTTTTATTCAATGTTTTCATGTTATTACTGCTCCATAAACCTTAAAAGGCAGTCGGAACATTCAGGGCTTCGCCATGATACGAGCAGTCTTGTTAAGTATTCGGTAAGATATCGTTATTCATTGCATTTTATTCCTTATCAATTCCGCAATTTCTGCTATTAAGTCGATTTTTTCAGCATTGAATTGAAGTTTTCTTTTGCCAGAACTATCTACCGTGGAGAGGTCAGTGAGTTGAAAAAAGAGTTGAAAAGGAAATATGGCTTAATCGTTTTGGATTTGAAAGTGCAGTTTACCTGATACGACTATCTCTATTTCGATTGTAGCTTGGCCGACAGTGTTGTTGGCATAGCAGATGTACTTCCCATTGTCACTCTTGTCAGCATTGTCTATCTTCAGAAGAGCATGTCTGTCTTTGGACCCAATCAGAACCCTCTCCTCATTCTTCCTCTGCCACCACACTTTTGGTTCTGGTCTCCCATTACCCAGACAAAACACTTCCAGACTTGATCCTCGGTCTAAGTTAAACCCACTCGGCGGGTCCAGCACTATTTCCGGTGACTCACCTACTGTGATTTGCGCGGGACCATTGACGTATTGACCGACACCACTATTTACGACACATTTATACGAACCGGCGTCCGATTCCTCAATGTCGGAGATCAGAAGCGCTCCGTCGTTGAGAACCTTGAGTCTGGGATCTTTCCCGAAGTTCATCGGTCGGCTGTCTTTGAACCAGTTTCTTCGGGTGTCCAGGTCACCGTCGTCCGGTGAAGTGCAATGCAACCGGGTGTGTCCTCCGAGAGGTATTGCTTGGTTTTGCAAAGACGAACGGAAGTTTTTGACAGGTCCTAAGCAAAAGAATTATGATGCTCAAATAAGGACATGGAAAAAAACTAATCATAAAACAATAGTTATTTTCATATCATTTTGTGGCCTAAAGCAGCAGCAGCAGACAATTTTAAGTTTTGCGACCCAAAAACTAAGGAAAAAAGTATGAATTTGCTCAATTGTATTTTGAGCATGTCTGAATCCTTAAAAAACTAATTTGATGGAAGTTCTAATTAAGCAGAATATGAGTTGAACTAACCGCTGAGTGAGACATGTGCCACTTGTGACCTGTGGCTGCCGTGTTTGTTACTGGCGATGCAGAAGAACTCCTCTACCGTCTCCTCCGCTGCTCCCCCTCCCACCCTGGGAATCACAAGGGTCTGCCAGTTGGGGGCATCGTCCACCAAGTCCAGTCGGTAGAACACAGACGGGAAAACAACTGAAAGTACAAAAGTATATTTTTCTCCTGACCATAACTGAAAGAAACGCAGAAATGCTCAATTGCTTTTCTTCAATAGGATTGACAACACAAAAAATGGTGGAATAGATCATTGCAAACGTTTGTACTCTTCAAACAGTTTTTATGAGTATGAGGCTACACAATACATTCGGAGTATTGTGTTATTATTCAACTGGACTAATTTGGTGACTCAATATCTTTGGTTCAAAACAATCAACGTTTAGAGCGAAAACCGTGATTATAGAATCCGGTGTTCGTACTTCTCTGCTCGTTTCTGAACCAGACGAGGGTGGGTATGGGTTGTGCATCTGCTCGGCATTCCAGGGACACTCTGGATCCTTCTAGTGCACTCACATTCTGTGGTTGGATCACAAACACTGGAGTGGTACCTTCTGAAACTAAAAGGTCGAACTAAAGGGGCAGTTGTCAAAGTGAAGACTTGCGCAAACGAAGATGCAATTAATGATTGGTCAACTTCATTATTTTTTTTCAAGAAAAAAGCGTTTACCACAAAAATTCAGATACTCTTCGCCAAAATTCAACATTGGCTTCTACTATTTATTATTAACCAATTTATATTGCTCAAATGAGGAATTAGCTAGAACTGTTAGCGTGTCTCAATTAAATTTGATTATTTGGATAGATTTCAGAAAACATTTCAACGCTGCTTTAGCGTCTTTCAAAAAACTGTCATTCAAAAAACCAATGAATAGCCAATTTTCTTAGATTTTTTTTCAGAAGCTCATAACGTCTTTTACCATAATACTACAAACTAGAGAGTCATACTACTATCTAACGATATTCAATAATATTTTTGCTGAAATTTATTAATTCAAAGCTTTTGCGTTCAAACTTTCCGAAAGAATGAGAAACCTAACTTTGATTTTTTTCTCAAAGCAGCTTTGAATAAAACATTAGCTCTTCACGATAGTTTTGCCGGTGACACTTTATGATGATTTGAGTTCATTTTGCAAGCCTGATTTAAGCAATTGGGGGAAGGAATAAAAATGGACACTTTCAACGCGATTTCCTACATCGTTTCGGCATTACACAAAAAGTGATCGACTAGAAACAAAAAGTTGCTCAAAACTTCACGAGAATTGATATGATGCAATTACTTTTATAGAAACTGAAAACAAAATTTCACCCCAATGCTGAGCCTCATATTTAGCCCAATAAAATAAAAAAGTGATTATCTTTTAATTTTTGTGTAAATAAGTATATTTTTGTTTGATAGTCAAAACATAGCCAACAGACAGTTGGAAAAGAGTCAATGAACGCAAGAAAGCAAATTTGGATTTACTTTCAACTTAGGATTTATAAAATGAAAAATAAATGGCCTTAAATTTCTTAGAATTTCAAGAACTAATTATCATAGCATTTTGTTTGATAAAGTTAACCTAATTTGAGAACACTGGATTATTTGGTAAAGGTTTTTATTCCGCTGGGAAATCCTAAATTTAAATTCTTTTTTTTTCGAATCTAGAATTCGATCACGTTTTTGGTGATCCTTACTCTTTTGCTATGTGATAGTGGAGTTTGTCTTCTTTTTACCAAAGGAAATGAACTGAACTTAAAAGGAAATCAAAAGTCAATTCGCGAAAACGTAAGTTTGAGCCTGAAAAAATTTAAAGATAAATTTTAAGCCCGAACAGATTTCTTTCCTGAAAAGAAAAACAAAAAAAAGCGACGATTTAAGAGTCTGAACTAAGTTCGTCAACTCTCAAAAACGTCATCATCACTAATGACTGCGCAATTCTTTTAAAATTCTAACCTGGTTTAACCTTGGTGGGGAAAAGAGGATTGGCTTTGACCGAATAGATAGGGGTAAATCTCGATTGATTGAAAAAGCCAAAAATGACCCAATTTTAGGAGTATATTGGATCCAAATTTTGCAAAAAAAAACTTAATCATATCAAATCAGCTGAAATTTTTAGCAACTTTGTGTAGACTTGAGGCAATTTTGCTGCAATATTATATTCGCTCAACAAATCTGGTGGATTTAAATTAACCTTAAACTGCTTATTTTGGATACTGGTTCTAGCAAAACGAACTGGTTCGAAATTTTCACAAGCCTAAAGCGCACTCGCTATGTTATGGCTGATTAGGAAGCTCAAGGTTTTCGATATTGTCAGTAATTTGGTTAGAGCGTTTTTGGAAAGCTATTGTTTTTAACATCGCTTATTGGCACCAATTAAATGGTGAACATGGATTATTTCTTTTTTTTTATCTTATTGCAAGGACTAAAAATAGCAATAGCCCCTGAGCAAAAAAGGATGTGTCGTATGAGAAATAATGGACTGAAGTGTGGAACCACCGGAGAAGCTACTACTAGTTATGTGGTCGATTAGAGACAACATAAATAGTCTCTTGGCGAGGAGTGTGGGGAGTGTGGTGAAACGTGAAGTGTGTTTGGTGTGAATATGTCCAAGAGCCTCCGGCCGCTCAATCGCCCATAACGCTCATTGAATGACCACATTCTTCAAATCAGTTTAGCCGACACTTGATTTAGACGAATTTCGTGACCAAGTATAACGCAAGCAAAAATAATAATATTTTCGAAGAAGGTTTCCGAGCGACTTCAGTTTACCCTTTTAGGCCTAATTACGAGTCTGCACTGTCAAATACTAATCGAGACCACAATAATCAGACTAAATAAACTTTGCGTTGTTATCACAAACAGCCTCTAGCCAGCCAGGAATGATTTGACTGAAGTTTATGATGGGAGAGTAGGCATTGTGAGGGTGGGGAGGGGTACAGAGGAAGAATTAGAATCTCGTGGGGGCCGACTGAACAGCGTCTGGTTTGTTCTTTTGTTTACAGCTGTTTTTTCAAAAAATGCTACTGACCACAAACTGAACTCGCTTTGAAAGGTCCGAGAGAGTAGAGGAAAACAGCTTCACATGCGATTTGTAATTTCACCATTTACGGAAATGAAAAGATAAATCGGGAAAATTAATTTTTTGTTTGGTCTGACTAATTTTTTAACTACCCAAGAAAGTGTCCGAGGAGTACAAATGAAGAAGCATTTGAAGCCGTTCAATTCAAATTTGGATTCTAGAAAGAACCCAGCCGTTTCCTACTACACCAATCGAAGAAACATTCAAAAACCAATTTGTTTAAACATTTCGTTATTTTTTTTTAAAAAACGAGGAATTGGATTTGATGAAATATGCCACGAATAAGCAGTAAATCATAGCTGATTTCACGTTAATTTTGGACTACAAGTAAGTTTAATTTAAAGGTCAGCAATTTAATTTAAAAGTCAGCCATAAATTCAGACCATTTTTTTTGACACTGAGACAATTTGTTGCATTTTGAAAAAATGGAAATCACGATTGAAATATCTCGCATTAAGACAAAGTTCTGATGGTTCGGACTGCGCTTTTACGTAATTAGTTAAGTATTTGGCAATAAAAGAAAAAATGCTGCACATAATGGTTTCTTTCCTAAATGTACCTACACCCTCTCCCCCACACAATGTCATATCCAAAACGATAAGCTAAATCAATATTTGTATAAATTAGCTTGCTTCCAGTCAAATTGCATAGATTTCTGACACATTTTAATCTGCTGCTTATGTTACGCGGTAATAGCGTGGCAAAGTTTTCCGCGCTTAAAGTTTCTGCGAAATTGGTTTGAGACAAATTAATTGGTCATATTTTTCCCTGTACGAGTCAGATATGCAGCCTTTACTTTTTCAATCGGCTGTAGAAGGAAAATCAATTAGGGTCAAAACACATAATCTTTTTGCAAGGTGTTTTCAAAACGCGACTTTTTATGAATACCATCTTTAATTTGCAGAAGTGTCAAATTGGAGACTAATTCGCAGAACCATGAAATTGAATCAAAACAAAGAAACAAGGAAAATTCTACCACGGCAATATAGTAAATCAATTTTAAAAGAAACAAAATTTAGTAGAAAACATAAAAAATATAGTTTCTTTTCTTTTTTCTTGTTTTTATCTCAAGTTTGTGCTAGTTGGTTCACTTAAAGAAAAACCTATCTGACAAACTTAAATGTTTGTGGCTGGAAAAACGATGGAAAATAACTGCAGGAGTATAAACAGCAGAACTCAATAGGATGTCACCAATTGAATCATTCCAATCAAAGTGATTTTAGCGAAAGTTGGTCGAAAAATAGAACAACTCAACTCACATTTTCTCGAAACTGAGAAAATTGTTTAATTTACTTAGCAGTCCAAATTAAGACTAATGTAGTTATGAAATCATACCACACTTAACCCCCTGACGAGCTGTCTTTGAGGTAGTCCATTTGCGTTGAGAAAACACACTCTAAGCAATAGTTCCTTCCCATTTTTTGGAAAACTGCAGACACCAAAGAGAGAGAGAGAGAGAGAGAGAGAGAGAGAAAGAAAGTTACAGGGACAGAGAGAGAGAGAGAGAGAGAGAGAGAGAGAGAGCACAAAAACAAACAAGACAGCTCGTACCCCGAATTTTTTTTACTCCATTTTAAGGTCTAGGGATCAGTAATAACATGAAAAAATTAAATAAAAAAAGTAAAGAGGATTTTTTTTAACTTTAGATTTCTAGTGAACATATCAATTATGGCAAATAAGCTTCATTCAAACAATTTGGAACAATTTCTAAGACGGATTAAATCTGCGCTTAAGCGTTAACAGCGCGAAATATATCGCGCGTTATTTGTCCCAATTTGGCCAAAATGGCATTTTTAAAACACAAATAATTTTACGAAAAATGATCACCGGTGAAATATATTTTTAAATTCAAACTCAGGACAACAATACCTTTTGAATGATATAAAAAATGCCGTCAAAATGGCTAGTTAAAAAGTCGAAGTTCGTCTGAAGAAAAAAAGTCTACCCCGAGTACAAATATTCCGTTACTTTCGTAACAGAAGTCTGAACAAAAAGTAAAATGCCTCATACTTTTATATGTTTTCCTCTTGCATCATAAAAAAAACTTTTTTCTCCATAAAAACGGTCGTTATAACAATAGTTAAATTGGTAGTTTTTTAGCGAGCTAAAGCAAAATGTATTCTAAGAACTCCAGCATAATTGTCAAACAACATGAAAACAAAAATACTAAAGCTCAAAAGTAGTGAAAGGAAATCTATTGTGAATAGAATTTTTAGACAAACATTTTTTGAGACATTTTTTGAGACATTTATTCTGCATGTGCAGCAATTTCTCAAACAATGCTGTCAAAAAATTATCGAAAAATATATTAGAAAATACACAGAACGATTTCAAAATTACTTCTTAGATAATTGAACTGCGGCCACTTTTCAGTAACAACCAATTGTCGAATGGGAAATAATTATGGCGCAAAGTTTTTTCACCTGACTTTAGGTACATCAAAAACATTTTAGAGGCCATTGCTAGTATGATTATTACAAAAGTATTCTCTTAGTAATCAGAAAAATTAATGGTAATCAGAAAAACTAACAGACTTTAATATTAACAGCGTAAAAAAGCGACATTACGATACGATGATTCAAAAGCAACAAAAACACACCTTATGTTTGTCAAAAAAATTTAAGAACAACCGCACTACAATGAGAAGCACCAATTCTGAAGAAACAAGTGGAAAAATTTTTAGAAATTTTGCTTCTTCGGAATTGTTGCTTTTTTATTGCAATGCGATACTCTTTCGAAAATTTTAGAACAGGGGTATTCGGTGTTTGCTTAACTTTTTTCAAGAATTAAGAATTAATTGAATTGATATCATAAGCAACAGTTCTGAAGAAGTGAAGTGCAAAATTTTCTGCATATTTGCAAAACGGGGCTCAACAAAGACGTTTTCAAGCCGAACATGATTTTAAGAAATTCAAATATTTAAAAAAAATTTTTTAACGTCGATCAAATTGATTTATACGTTTTATGGCAATTTTTGAAATGCATTGACTAAATTTTGCACTTTTTGGCGTGAACCCCTAAAGGTTCTTAAATTTGGGCGCAAAACCCAAAAAGCGTTTTAGTATATTTTTTGCCAACCCACCTCCGTCTGATTTTAAAAATGTGACGAATAAACTAACCTGACAATGTGCTTTGAAAAATGACCAGAGTCAAAACCAAGGTTCTGCACCAAAACTCAAATGTCGTCATTTCCATTAATGAATTGAATAAATGCATAGTTTGTTCACGATATCGTTCGATTCGGTTAAAACTGCATTTGGGCGATGACCTTCAGCTGAGTAATGATAATAATAGGTGCAAGTTAACTGTCTTTATTTTATATCTAATAGATGATAAGAAAGATAAGCAACTGTCCCGGATGATAAACTGTGAATCATCGGAGTGTTCTGTTGCTAACAGTCTCGCTTCGTTCGAATCGTTGTCTTCTAGTTACGCATTTCCAATTCCAGCTTCAAAGTAATTAACCAGAAACTGTTGCTATATTTTTATAACCAACTAGGGAAATAATAGACTATACAAAAATGTCACCACATTTGCTAATAGGAGTTCGTAGGGAGCCCAGAACTGTTTTGTAGTTGACTGTTCCCGCATGAAAATCCCCTCAGAACCTGTAATAAATATGAGCTAATTAATTTACACCAGGTAGTCAGTCAAGTTTTGTGATGTCAATATTTTGAAAGATTTCAATTTCAAGTATGAGTTTTATATCAAAAAATCAAAGAGTTACTAAGTTAAAATCTCAAATAAGTGAAAGTTATGTAAACACGATTTCACTGGCAAGTTTTATTGTAACGCATAATTTAAAAGGTATTTTATTTTGCGATGGAACACCTTTTTTGGTTTACAAAACGGGTGTCGCTAATTTATTGAGCAAGAAACTTTTATTGGACACAACTTATGGCTACCAACTCCAAATCGGAGGCATTTGTATTTGTGAATAAAATTCAGATATGATTTGTTCAGTAGGACAAGCTACAAATTCATAATATCTCCAAAATTTATTGGAACTACGCTTACTAAAGGGCCAGTCTTTTTGGCGCAAATCAAGAAAGCCAGGCAAGCTGGATCTAGCTGGGCAAATTCACGTCCCTTTACAGTGACCCCTCCCCTTGAGTTTGAATTTTACACTTTGCCCACTTTTGGGCAATAATTCGGGGGCCTGATCGCTAAACCGGGCGGCAAGGAATGGCGCTGTAAATTGTATAAAAGTGTTAAAATTATTACAAGTCACTTGGTTGAGAGTATTACTTCAACTCTTGTTCTCATGTTTACCTAATTGTGTTACATTGAACCCCTTTTTATGAAGGACGGGGCTTAACTTCAGTAAACCACAAGTGTTTAAAATTCAGTACCCAAGTCGCTTCAAAGATTATTCCCAAAATAGTGGAGTAATTCCAGCGACTTAGAAAACTGAAGAATCCCGATTTTTATCCTGTCTGTACTGACTTGTAATAACTACAAACCAAGTTGTAATAAAGGGATTTGTGAGATATTGTTTACAAGTACAACACAGTTATTAAGTTTGTTTGTTAATAAATACCCCCTCGGGGCGAAAAAGTAAGGCGACAGGTATGGTTATAAATTTTAACACCTTAGCCGAGGAGGGATATAGTGATAACTATGGAATTGAATTTACAATGGTATGAAGAGATTTTAATCACTCCTAATTCTCCCCCAGGAGGCTAATTTCAACAGGGGCTACACCAGTTTAGACTTGTGACTAGTGACAGGGGCGGATCTAGGATTTTCACGCTCGAAAATTATGTCGATCTTTTTTTTAGGTCGACCGAATTGATTTTTTGAGCTCTCTCCCTCAGCACGGTTTAGTCCCTGTTTTGGCCAAATTTTCTGCGCCGTAGGCAAAATTTTGAAAAAATTCCAAAAAAGGCGTTTTTGAGCACTTTTTGGAAAATGTTGACCTAAAATCGCTTTTTTTTCGGCGCGCGCTCCCCCCTCAAAATTGGTATATATTGGCGCCAAAGACGCCACTAGAAAATTTTTAAAGTCGGTTGGCCAAAACTTGGATTTCTTAAAAAGTACCAAAGGGGGGACCCTTTGGGTCGGCAGGGGATCGAATCTCTGAGGGGTCGAATCCCCCTAAATCCGCCCCTGACTAGTGATACTTATGACAGGCTCATTTATAACTGAACTGTAGACTGGTCTCAGTGGTAATTAGAATTTATCCGAGTTTTGTTATTTTAATTTACCGGATCAAAAAGATCGCCGAAATTGTGGTGAATTTTGTTTGGCAAAATTTGAACAAAATTCAGCGGACAAAACCAAGGTGTAGAACTAACTGTTACCTGATACAATACATAAGATTGGCAGAGACAGATAAATTTGCGCAAACTGCTGACTTAATATTGCTGCCCAATAAAAGTGTCTCTATAAATCTCCTAGTGCATTTGTCTCAGTATCTGAAGATTTTGGCAGGGAGATACCAATTTAGCTTCATAAGTTTTTGATCTGTCTGATGAAAAATCAAAGAGTTTTATAGTCTATGATATTGGATGTTTGTAAATAAATTTATAAATAATTACTTGGCAAAGTTCTAGGAAAAACAGTCTGCTACATGTTTAGAATACGATCAGTTATCTGCTGGTAAAAGTTTGCATATCTGCTATCGAACAAATGTTTTAGTTTTGACCAGGTCTGACCATCGCTTAACATTAGTCTACAGTCTTGGCCACTCTCGAAAAAATATTATTTTTTCATGGAAGTTAATTCACGCAAAATTAGGTACTTCAAAGAACTTTTGCATGATCGTTTTTGCAGTCATGATTCGTTTCTCAAATCAAACTTTTAAAACGTTATCTCACTGTCAAGAAAACGTGGCCCGAAAATTTTCAGGCTCTGGGCTTATTAAAACAGTCACTCTCATTCTGTTTTGAAACATGTTGAAGTATTCTTGAAATCATTTGAAGCCAGTCTTCCGAAATAATTTCAGCTGACCAGGTAAACTTCAGACTTTAGAAAAAAGTAAAATTAACAAATTAGTTCCCCGATTATTTGTGGATTAGCATTGAACTCATCTGTGGTGCTACTTGAACTCATGTCCCATTTACGTGTCGGTAACAAGTGATACAAATATATAGTTCAAGGGAATGGTCACTTTTAGCTATTTTAGTAAGACAATTAGAATTCAACGCGTATAGCCCAAAAAGTTAGCCAAAAAAAAGTAATTTTTAACCACAGGCATAACGACGGGCAAGAGCTGATTTGCTCATATTTTGGTCCTTCTCCTTGTGCGTAAACCATCGCAACTAACTGCATTACTGATATCTAACTAATCTTCGATATCTTTTGTGTATAACTGATTGGATTCAATATTCAGAATTTTTTAAAAATAACCATGAAACATGAAAATAGATTATTGATTGAAAAAACTCCGACAAAAAACAAATGTACATCGTTCGAAGACTAGTTATCAAACCTCCAGAGTTTTGCGAAAATTATTGGAGGTAAAATAAATTTTTAAACGTGATTTAAGGGAGTTGATATCCGTATGGGGTAAAAAATTGTTTGTTAAAAACTATTTTTTTCGCCTCGTACAACCGATTCGATAGCCGAGAGAAACATTGACTGAGATCATGCTGCACTGCGGTTGCCAAATATTTAGGAAGGCAATTTCACTTTGTGTTTTTGTCATAAACATTGGAAATGGATTTTGGCAATTTGAGTGTTTTTTTTTCACCCGAAAACCAATATTCTAGATCAAATGCTTATTATTTTATTTGAATACTACTATAAGAACAAGGCTATGTATCTGCATCTAGTACGTATCAATCAAACCAATTAAACTGCTGCCCATTCAAACTGTGCTGATTTCCCAGCTATACTAATTCACTGTATTAAGGCAAAATATATTAATCGTCAATTATTCCGTAAAGATACTCAGAAATTGTTCAAATTCAAAAAAAATCTACCAAGTACAAATTTTTGTCATTTTTGTTTGGTAAATGAGCCAAAAAAAATTAACTTTATCAGTTCAATTTTGGAAACCTGTGTAATAAATTTTTTATTCAACATCAGTTTCAAGCGAAAAAAAAATGAATGTGAGAAAAAGGTTTCATCTCAACTGTCCAGAAAAGAACATTGTAGTTGAGCTCGGCAATTTTTTTCGTTCTGACAAACTTTGACTTTTTTAATGATATTTTTGCCAAAATTTTTTATGTATTTTCAAATCTTGAGATGTCAACTTAGCAATTTGAAAACTGCCAATTTGACCAATCCAGTTTGAAATAATTAACGTGCAATTTTTGTGCTAATTTTATCATTTCGACTTTTCATTTCGCCTTTGAAATTGTTCTCATTTTGAGCATGCTGTTTGGTCTTATGAACACGCTAAATGACATTTATTAATTCCCCTGAACTTGAATTTTCTCTAAGTTCAAAGCTTTGCCGTGATGAGTAGTCATCTTTTTCTAGAAAGACGATTGATTGTAAGATTGCATTTTAGTTTCTCAATAATCAAAGTGAAGGTCTTAAACTTTTCATTTATTTTATATGTTTCTCAATCTAAGCGTTTAAAATTGCTTGAACTACAGTATATGCCTTGTTTTAGACAAAAAATTTTAATAAAAAAATCAACTTCCAGAGAAAATTTGTTGCCTTTGTATTTCAAATTAGTAATGTAAAAAGTGCAATAATGAGAGGAAAGTGAGTTTTTTCAGCATCAAGATCCCTAAAATGGCACGAACAGATTGCAGTAGAAACTTTTATTAGGGCTGTCAAACTATTTAAAAAAACATTGCGCACGTTTTTTTGAGGGTCGTTGCAAAAAAGCGTTCAAATTGTGACACTGTGTTAAAACTAAAATGTCAAAATGTCAAAATAGTCAAAAACCTTCAGACGCTTTAAAAACTCTATTTTGATACCTTTTAACCAACTATGAAACTGATCTTCAAAAAAGCAACCTATTTGGCTATGATTGTCTCACAACACAGGTACGTACAATTGATAGAAAGTTTTGATCTGCATCAAGAACAATTATGAGAGGAGCAGCAAAACATGCTATGTCTAAGCAAATACAGCACTTAAATAAACTAATGAAATTCTCTAGATCCTTTTTGAATTTTTTTAAACGCTGTTAACTTGCCTCATTTGCGCTAACATAATTGGATTCTTCATTTGACATAAACTATTTGTACTTATTTGAAAAAAATGAGGCACTATTCATATTAGGTTACCTGTTAGTTTTTGAATTTTGTTCATCAAAACGTCTGAACAAAATTTAAAATGAAAATGGACATTTATAAATTGCATTAACCGTGTCAAATTTAAAAAAATTAAGCTTTTGTTTTTACCTGGGTATAACGGAGACTTCTACCTGGTAAGTTCGTAATAATAAACCAACTGAGGGAATCTCGTTATTCAATTGTCTTCTAAAATCAATTTGGAATTTTTCTATTCCTGTGTAGCCCAGGGAGAAGTGACGCTTTTGTTATATTTTCAGGTAGGGGATTCAATCACAAAATATGACAGGCAAGATTTGTGGTGAGATGAACATTGTACCATGTGTTTAGTGTGGTATTATTCCCCACACTTACGTAACAGTTAACCGGGGTTAATCCTTTACCAGGGATAGGTTAAACCCAATAATTGTCTGTCCAAAGTCTATACTTCCAGGCTCCGAATAACTAATGAACATTTTCAAGTACACAAATGAAAAGGCTGTAGTTCAGATCGAATAAGTCTTCATTTAGCTGGAGAAAAGTAACTTGCATGGATGTTTGGAACAAGTATGAATGAAGAGTATATGTAGTTCCTTCTTGTGAATCTAAACGATGAAGCTATATGCATAATTTAGCAACATGCCGAAACAATTGTTTTTCTTCATGATGTGGAAGAGTTATCTCATTGTAAGCACAAATTGGCGGAAATTGGACGCATGTGTGTGTCAAATGTCTTCTCACTTACAGAAATTAACCGAGGGAGCAATTATATCAGTTCAGGCCTAATTTTTATAACTGACTCCATAAATGTTTTCTGTGCTTGAAGATTTTTTCCAACTGATACTCTTATGTATCTCAGGGAAAAAATATTTTGCGGCAACAGAATCGATTGAATTGTGACGGAACGGAATATCTGAGTGGATTCATTCGCTGCTTTGCTCTCAAATTCACCGCCTTTATTTGGCTTAAGCTTCAACGAAAACAAGGGATTTACTTATTGTTCAGACAGGGAGAATAAATAATCTTGGTCAGGTGTAAATTTATGCCTCATTCATAGATCAATTGGCTTAAAGGCGCGGCCGCCGGACCACACTACACCACGTGAAAAACATACCTTCATGTGTGAGATGTCTTCATTCCGGTCGTTTGAAAAAATCCTTTTTTATGAAAAGCAAAAATTCCTCATAAAAGCGGCGGAAAGCAAAAACAGTAAAAGTGAATAGTGTTTGTTTTTGTCGATTTGTTGTTATGTTTGATGTTGTCGGTAAATCAGCTTTATCAACTGATTTTTTTTTAAAAAAAGCAAAGAAAAACGTCTTCAAGAATCTAAAAAACCGAAGACATATTCAGTGCACCAAATCATCAAGAATACACGCATCAATGTGAGCAAAGCGGTTTTTGTCAAAATACTTTTATCAGATGTGCAAAACTTGAGATTTTGTAATCAATTTAGATCTAATAATTAAACGAGTACCGCCAATCGAAACAAAGCTTCCATCTAATTCCAACAAAGCTCCAATCGAAACGAATCAAGTGGTTAATCAAAAAGAAAGTGGAGTCTTTTTATCAAAAATATCCATATTCAAAAACAGGGAAATCCTGAAATAAATCATTTCCACGTTCAGTTCCCAAGTAGATTTTTATCTGTCTAGACAAGGGTCTGAATTGAGCAGATAATGGGAGAATGGTGCGATTTTCGACACGGTCACTAACTACCCCACATTTCATGAATATAACGCAAGTAAAACAATTTTTATGACTGCGAAGCTTTTGGCTGAAAGACTAGCATTTTTCCATGGGTGAAAATCCAGTTAATTTGAGGAAAAAACAGATCAGTACCAGTTCTAAGTTTTATCAGATTTTTTTGTTAAAAAAGTGTCAAAAAGTTTTTGCAATTTTTTGCAAGAAGATTTTTATCAGTTCTTATGATTTATTCGTTTTCCATGAGAACAAAAAAAACAACCTAGAATCCATTATTTAATTTTTTTCAATCAAACTTTGCAGTTTTATTGATTAAATAGCCGTAACTTTAAACACTAGCTTCGCTCACACGAATAGAGATTTCTTTTGCATGTGTAAGTATCTCCATCTGACATAAATGAATGACAATCACCACTTGTAGATGAACCGACAAACACAAGTTAAAAACAACTTTCCTCTCAAAAAATTATAAAAGATTGCAGACAAATCCGAAATTTTGGAACTGAAATTGCCTGAACTTAAAAGAATTTTAGCAGCACAGAGACAAAACGAAGCTTCGCCCTATTTGTGATACAACATATGACTTGAATGACAAACTAACCAAAAAAAATAGAGATGGAAGCCCAAAATCGATAAAAGAGAAAATCAAAACAAACTGGAGCTGGTAAATTTGCAATCATCATAAATACCGAATTTCGAATTGAACGGGCATTCAAAATGCAAACCTACTCAAAAATTGTCTGTTCGTTGACGAAAGTAAGGATTGAGATGAACACTGGTTTCAATCATCCTCTTAACAAGGTAATTAAAGAAAAAGTCTAGCACCCTATTGCAAGGATTATTTGACAGCGCAATAGCACAACATTTTTTGTTATTCGGTCAAAATGGAACATACTCCACATATCTAGGACTGAAACAAGACTGCTCGTATATCAGGATAAAGCCCTGAATGTAACGACTGCCCATTAATCCATATCAAATAGTTTATGGGAAAAGAAATATTAAAAAACTATCAACATTGGACAATGTCGAAAAACAAGTGTGAAAATTCAAGATCCGAAATAAATCCGACTTATTAGATTAGCTAGCCTCCATTTCATTCGGAACGATTTTGTTGTGCGGGATAATTCTTCACGAATAAATTGTTCGCATAAGGCTTTCAGCATTATGAATAAAATCTTCAAAGAGCACATAACTTAGTCCAGAGCATGGTCAAGTTGACAATTGTCAAACCTCCAGAATTTTGCAAAACGATTGGAGGTGAAATAAATTTTTAAATGTGATTTGGGGGATGTGATATTTTTCATGGGGCAAAAAAATTGTTTATTTAAAACTATTTTTTCGACTCGTACAACCGATTCGATAGTCGAGATAAACATTGACTGAGGCCTGAGATCATGCTGCACTGCGGTTGCCAAAAATTTAGGAACCCAATATTACATTTGGGTTTTTATCATAAACATTGGAAATGGATTTTGGCAATTTGAATGTTATTTTTTCAGCCAAAAACCAATACTCTAGATCAAATATTTATCATTTTATTTGAATACTACTATAAGAACAGTGCTATTTATCCGCATCTAGTACGTATCAATCAAGTCAATTAAACTGCTGCCCATTCAAACGATGCTAATTTCCCAGCTTAACTAATTCACTGTATTAAGGCAAAACATATTGCTCATCAATTATTCCAAAAAGATACATAAACTCGAAAACTCGACCAAGTACAAATTTTTGTCATTCTCGTGGTATATGAGCTATAAAAAAACTAACTTAATCGGTTCAATTTTGGAAATCTGTGTAAAAAGTTTTTATTGAACATCAGTTTCAAGCGAAAAAAAATGAATCTGAGAATAAAGTTTTATCTCAACTGTCCAGAAAAGAACATTGTAGTTGAGCTCGGCAAATTTTTTTGTTCTGACAAATTTCGAATTTTTTAATAAAATTTTTGAAAACAGCTTTTTATGTCTTCTGAAATCTTAAAATATTATAAACTTAGCATTTTGAAAACTGCCAATTTGACCAGTCCAGTTTGGAATAATTAACGTGCAATTTTTGTGCTAATTTTATCGCGTTGCGGCTTTTCATTTCGCCTTCGAAATTGTTCTCTTTTTGAATAAGCTATTTGGTCTTATGAACAAGCAAAAAGACATTTATTAATTCCCCTGAACTTAAACTTTCTCTAAGTTCAAAGCCTTGTCCTGATGAACATTAATTTTTTGTTAGAAAGACGATTGTACAATTGTATTTTAGTTTCTCAATAATCAAAATAAAGTTTTTCAGCTTTTCATTTATTTTATAGGTTTCTCAATCTAAGCGTTTAAATTCGCTTAAACTATAGCATATGCCTTGTTTTAGACAAACAATTTTGATAAAAAATGAAATTCCAGAGAAAATTAGTTGCCTTTGTATTTCAAATTAGTATTTTAAACAGTGCAATAACGAAAAGAAACGGAGTTTTTTTTTCAGCATCGAGATCCCTCAAATGGCACGAACAGATTGCAGTAGAAACTGTTATTAGGGCTGTCAAACAATTTTAAAAATTATTGGGCACGTTTTTTGAGAGTCGGTGCAAAAAAGGGTTCAAATTGTGACTCTGTGTTTAAACTAAAGTGTAAATAGTCAAAAACCTTTAGTCGCTTTAAAAACTCTAATTTGATACCCTTTAACCAACTATGAAAATGATTTTTAAAAAAGCAAGCTTTTTGGCTATGATTGTCTCACAACACAGGTACGTACAATTGATAGAGTGTTTTGGTCTCCATCAAGAACAATTTTGAGAGAGGAGCGGCAAAACATACTATGTCTAAGCAAATACAGCACTTGAAAAATTTAATGGAATTCTCTAGATCCTTTTTAATTTTTTTAAACGCAATTAACTTGCTTCATTTGCGCTAATATATTTTGATTCTTCATTTGACATAACCAAAGCACTTAGTTGAAAAAAGTTGAGGCACTAATCATATTAGGTTACCTGTTAATTTCTTGATCACACTTGTGCCTACAGGAAGTCAAGAAGGTGCATAACAAGAAATCTGTCTCTCGATATTTCGTGCATTGGTTTTTTCTACTACTTTTTGCTTTCTCGACAATTCATACAAACGACTGAACAAAATTTTCAATGAAAAAAGGCATTTATAAATTGCATTAACCGCGTCAATTTAGAAAAGTTAAGATTTTCTTTTTACCTGGGTTAACGGAGACTTCTACCTGGTAAATTCGTAACAATAAACCAGCTGAGGGAATCTCGTTATTCAATTGTCTTCTAAAATCAATTTGAATTTTTCTATTCCTGTGTAGCCCAGGGAGAAGTGACGCTTTTGTTATATTTTCAGGTAGGGGATTCAATCACAAAATATGACAGGCAAGATTTGTAGTGAGAAAAACATTGTACCATGTGTTTAGTGTGGTATTATTTCCCACACTTACGTAACAGTTAACCGGGGTTAATCCTTTACCAGGGATAGGTTAAACCCAATAATTTTCTGTCCAAAGTCTATACTTCCAGGCTCCGAATAACTAATGAAAATTTTCAAGTACACAAATGAAAAGGCTGTAGTTCAGATCGAATAAGTCTTCATTTAGCTGGAGAAAAGTAACTTGCATGGATGTTTGGAACAAATATGAATGAAGAGTATATGTAGTTCCTTCTTGTGAATCTAAACGATGAAGCTATATGCATAATTTAGCATCATGCCGAAACAATTGTTTTTCTTCCTAATGTGGAAGAGTTATTTCATTGTAAGCACAAATTGGCGGAAATTGGATGCATGTGTGTGTCAAATGTCTTCTCACTTACAGAAATTAACCGAGGGAGCAATTATATCAGTTCAGGCCTAATTTTTATAACTGACTCCATAAATGTTTTCTGAGCTTGAAGATTTTTTCCATCTGATACTCTTATGTTTCTCAGGGAAAAAATGTTTTGCGGCAATAGAATGGATTGAATTGTGACGGAACGGAACATCTGAGTGGATTCATTTGCTGCTTTGCTCTCAAATTCACAGCTTTATTTGGCTTAAGCTTCAACGAAAACAAGAGATTTACTTATTGTTCAGACAGGGAGAATAAATAATCTTGGTCAGGTGTAAATGTATACCTCATTCATAGATCACTTGGCTTAAAGGCGCGGCCGCCGGACCACACTACACCACGTGAAAAACATATCTTCATGTGTGAGATGTCTTCATTGAAAAAAAATTTATGAAAAGCCAAAACTCCTCATTAAAGCGGCGGAAAGCAAAAAACAGTAAAAATGAATAGTGTTTGTTTTTGTCG